ACCAAAGGAGGGATACATCATCAATTCCAAATTTTTTCAGTTTTGCAAGCAGTATTTCGGGAACGACACACCCAAAGGCATTAGAAAAGTCATACAGAATCACATTGATTTTTTCTCTATTTTCCAACGAATCGTAGATTTCGGACACTAACTTAAAAAGTGCAGTCACTGTGCTCCTGCCTTTTCGAAAACCGTGCTGCTCGTCCGCAAGGAGATTGTTTTCAGCGAAATAGCTTTCAATTCTATTTAGGAAACATTTCTCAAATACTTTTGCTACAGAAGATGTTAAGGCTATTGGGCGATAACTACTAGCATCGGATTTCTCACCCTTCTTTTTGTACAATGGCTTGATTACAGTTAATTTTAGCACTTCCGGGAATTTACCAGTGCGAAACGACTCATTCACCATAAATGCCACAGGGAACACTATATAACCAGAAATCTTTTTCAACGTATCCATAGATAATCCATCCCAGCTAGATGATTTCTTTGACGGGAATAACTTCAAAATTTTTTCTATTTCAAATGGGTTAACGTCAGGCTGAGCAGTAAATTTTATTCCATTTGAAACAATACTCTCAGTACAGAGTTCTATTTCATCACTACTAAGATTTACCTGAGGTTCAACAAATTTTTTATTCAAAAAGTTGCAAATTTTCTGTAAATCCTTTTCCATTTCACCATCAATTTCAATTTGCTTAATATCATTTTCGTGTTTATCTTGGTTCAAGTTGCCAGTTTCGTTAATAATTTTCCCCTCCCCCTCTTTCTCTTATCTTACGGCCAAAGAAAGTAACAGTTTTATAATTAGTTATGCTAAAATGTTTGACTTCCTTAGAACAGAGCCAATGCTCATTTATTACAATGATTGAGGGCTTTTCGCGCAAATTAGTTATGTAATTTTCGAAATTCGCTAATTTTTCTGCAGATTTAACGCCTTGGATATTTAAAAGAGCGATTTTCAAATTTTCAACTTTACTTTGACCATTCTTTTTTACGCGACCTTGTGGAGAGACTTGCTGATTGCGTTTTTTGAGCTCTTTCTGTAATTAATCGTTACGGACTTGGAAGGCGATGGTGCTGCAATCTTCGGAGACGGTTTGGTTGAAGCGCGCAGCGTACTGGTGCGAGTAGCAGCTACTTTCTGCAGTGAACGTTTCCTGCCCTCAGGATGTGACTCACGTAATTGTTCAGTCAACGCATCGATGCTGCGTCTCACTCCGGCCATCTGGTCATGCATGAAACTTGTCAGGTCGACTGTTTCTGGTGCCTCTGGGGCCGCAATTAAGACTGGGTGCTCGGGCGAAGAAGAAATTAGGACCTCCTTTGCAAGACTTCTCTCAGTTCCACTCACCATAACAGTGGAAGGTTGTCGGGGGGGATTTTGAGATAAAACAGGTAGGGGCAGCGGGGGTAGGCTACCCACACCGACAGAGCCTTCCCGAAGCAATGCGCTTTCACGCTCGAGGTTAGCAAAGAATGCAGTCAGTTTACGGTCATGAGCGTCCCTCCATCCAGTCCCTCTCGTCTGTGACACAGCCCCACCAGGTAGCTTATTGGGCTCCAGACTGCAAGTGCGTACCTCATCAGGATTGGTAGTCTGATTTAAATTTTTATCACCTTTATTAGCTGGCGATGAGGTGGGGCTAGGCGCACGGGAGGGCACCCCAGCTTTTTTACAGGTCTCCGGTGTGCACCTAGCTTGTCCACCTGTTCCTGCTGTGACTTTGGCAGATTCTGATGGGGCACTGCCTTGCCCGGGGAAAGCTGCGGGCCTTGCCACATGTTGATCGCTGCTGATTAAGTGGCACGGCAGCGCAGCTGAAACAAAAGAAAATTTTTGTGAGTTTATTTGTTTATTATCCTTAGGGACGAATGTCGAGATTCCTGGTGACGAACAACGCTCAGTAGCCGGCTCCTCGATGCTCTGTCGAGTCTGCTGTATTTCCGATCTCATACTACTCAAAGTGACGTTTAGGCGATCGAGCAGCGTTTCCTCGTCACCGCCCAGTGTTGCATTAGACGAAGAGCCGCTCTCAAGCATATCCGAAACGGGCAGTGTCCTTTGCTTCTTTGTTGCTTTACCTACGACAAAGCTCTTCGACTTGTGCGTCCACGACCCAGCAGTTCTCCAGGTCCTGTTTGTCGGAGATGAAGGGGCGCGCTGCAACTCTTCCCTCCGAGGAAGGTAGTGCACTACCAGAGTAACGTCATCATCTGCGAAGATCTCTCTCAGCTTTTGTTTTGTGAATTTCCATGGAATGCCATCCAATCCAGCTCCCAATTTAGTTATGGCAATTTTCTGAAGTTTTTGTTCCCTCATTTTGTCACGCAAAGCAGTAAGAGCAGCCACCTCATTTCTGTAAAACCTTCCCGGGTTTTTGTGCTTCTTGTCACCTGTTCTCTCTTTGGATGCAACGTGCCAAATCGCTCGATCCCCCTCTATGCTTTGCATGACGATACTGCCGATGCGAATATTTGAGCCCGGCGCGTTGATGGCGCCAAACTTGTCAATCAAGGCCTTCGCCGCACCTTGGTATTTTTCAGGTTAGCTCCGACTAGGTGGGCGACAACATCCTCTTCCGCTTCAGCGATGTCCATACATTTATACTCAAACTTAACCTTGCCTTGGTACTCAGGAGATCTCCTCTGCCGAATTATTCTTCTGAAGTCCCTAAGCATGGCCCTGTCTTCATCGGTCCAATCTTTTCTCTCAGCCGCAGGAGCTGTGTGTCCGAGATATGCATGGTCAGCAGATTTCGGCTGCTCACCGTTTTTCGCTACCGCGCGCAGTTGTTTGCCGTTCTCCTTGTTGTCATTCATTTTCACGATGTTTCGCTTCGTCTTTTGAGTCGCTGCATTTTTGTTGACGCTGTTTGTTTTGACTGGCACGCATCCGCTTGCACCTGCCGCTGAACTGGGTCGCGCAAATTTGCTGACGCTGTGGTCGATTGCAGCAGATAATTTTTGCACCGAAGCGTCGGACGTGGTGTCACTCAGTTTCAAAAATTTGAGAATTTCGTTCAATAAATCTCTGACTTCACCCTGTGTTGCAAGAAGCTGGGCGAGCTCGCTCTCTTGAGAAACAGCCAGTCCCTGCGAGGCAGACCTGATACAATTCTTGGCGTCCATCTTCACTGACCTTTAGAAAATCTTGATTGCTTCCAAAAATATCGGGCCACAGAAAAGTCACACTATTCAGGCAGTCACGAGATAATGTCCAAATTGAGCACCAAAATTGGAGGAAAGCAGCGAAACGTTCGCTACTTTTTTCTGCCGCGCGAGCGGTGTGCCGGCACGTCCACTCGCTGCGGCTGCTCAACTCCAACTCCTTAAGTTAAAATTCACTGGCGGGGCCGGTGATTATGCACTTATTCATTGGACGGGTAATTTTGCCGTCGAGGGAAATTGCACAGAAATGTTCTTACCCCATACCCAACAAAAAATTACAGCTAGAAATAGAAATGAAAATGAGTTAGCTGCATTTTAGTGCTGATATGGAACACTTTACAGCTAACCTGCTAACTTGACACTCCGTCCGGCTCTAGTGGCGCGAGGAGCAGGAGGTTGCAGAGGTGCTCTCTTTCGAGCAACCCGAGGAACTGGTTGTGCTGGAGCTTGAACGATTCCAGCAGAAGGAACTGGTGGTGCTGGGACTTGATTGACTCCAGCAGGTGGCACTGGAACTTGGCTGGGTCCAGCAGTAGGAACTTGTTGTGCTGGAGGTTGGTTGGGTCCAGCAGGAGGAAGTTGTAGCTGCGGTTGAACAGCTGAGTTGATCATACCCAGGAAGCGGGAGAGTTCTTCGTACGTCTGAGGAGCGGGGTAGTCCAGAATGGCTGAGACCTTTTCAGGGAGAGGACGAATGCCTTCGGCGCTGATTCTGTGGCCAAAGAAGTCAACCTCAGAGGCGCCAAAAACACACTTCTCCAGGTTAAGCTTGAGACCGTCTTCTAAGCGTTTGAGAACGATGGTCATGTGCTGCTTGTGCTCTGCCTCGTCCTTGGAAGCGATGAGCAAGTCGTCAATGAAGCAGAAGACAAAGGGAAGACCATCCATTATTTCATCCATCAGACGTTGAAACGTCTGTGTTGCATTCTTCAAACCAAAAGGCATGTATGGGAAAACAAACAAACCAAAAGGAGTGGATACTGCAGTTTTGTGCACATATTCAGGAGCAACTGGAACTTGAAGAAATGCCCTAGCGAGATCTAGTTTGGAAAAGATTTTGCAACCATGTAGCGCTGCCGTGCAGTCTTGTAGGTGACGCAGTGGGTAGCTGTCAGGAACTGTTCTGGCGTTGAGTCTGCGGTAGTAGCCACAAGGTCGCCAGGTGCCATCTTTTTTCTTTACCATGTGATGAGCGGAGGCCCAGGGACTTTTTCCTCGTTGGGCTTCGCCAGCCTGTTGCATGAGGCTATACACGTCTTTGGCATACTTGAGTCGCTCAGCCGATAAACGTCTGAAGCGGTCACGGAATGGAGGTCCATCCGTGGTAGGAATGTGATGCACCGTGTTGTGCTTGATTGGTTCCCTTCTTGGAGGACTCGAAAAGACCTGGAAAGTCTTTGAGCAGTAGGAAATACTCATTTTGATCTTCCAAGACTTTTACACTGGAAATTTCATCTGAACGGCAGTAGCCTTTTGCAGTCATTGTCGTCAGTTTGTCGCGAAGCGTGGCAGCTCTGAGGTCAACCATGAGGTCGTGATGAGAAAGAAAGTCTGCGCCAATGATAGGTTGGTCAATTTCTGCCACTATGAAAGTCCACCGAAAATCTCGACTTAAGCCTATAGGGAGACATTCAGAGTTGCGAAGCCATATGTTGTGATGGAGGAGCTTTTGACCGCAGTGAGTGAGTAGTCAGTTGCTGTTCTGCGGCCAGGCACCAGATTGCGTGGAAGGATGCTGAGGTCCGACCCGGTGTCGATGAGAAATGATTATTGAGTGGCTGGATCGCGAATGAAGAGACGGCGAGACGTGGATGGGCAGGAAGTTGCCGCTACTGACTCTTGCCCGCGGCATTTTTTGACTGCCACGGTTTGAGGACATACTCTCCCTTGAATTCAGCTGCTTTCACGCATCCCGTAACGCAGCAGCGTGTGACAGCGTAGTTTGTGTGGTACCAGCAAACGCCATCCGTTCCAATTGTGCGCTTTTCTTGCCAGCTGGTGCTGCCGCTGCGTTGGTTGTTGTTGCCGCGGCTGGTGCTTCTGCCTCGTTGATTGCTTCCGGTGCCAGAGTCCAGCTTGCTAATGATCTTGTCCAACTTGGAGTTCACGTTGTAGATTTGCTCTTGCAGACTTTTGTTGATCTTGGCCTGCTCAGCGCTGATGCCGGTCTCCGCAACCTGTGGAACAAATGGGGCAACCTTGGAAGCAGTAGCCGTGAAAACCGAAGGTGAGGCATTTGGATTAGCTTTACCGTTGGCGTAGAGTGCGTCCGCAGCAATTTTGGCAGCGTTCAAGCCTTGCGTCTTGTGGATCGCCACAACGGTAGTTGCCCATGGCAATGATTTTATCCAGGCCTGCTCTACGTCGCCGATAACAATGTCATTTTCTTTGTATTTGCCATCTAATTCAGCGAGGGCAAATAGTTGGTCATAAAAATCGGACGGTTTCATGTCATTTCTGCTTTGTTTTTGCAAGGCTAGGCGAACAGCCTGGTAATCATCTGGGTGGCCAGATCTAAAATATTCATCTCTGAGAGTGTTGTAGGGATTTTCATTCGGCTCATTCAAAATGAGCTTGGCTACTGAGGGTGTGAGCTCTCCTTGGTTGAGAATCTCACACAGAACATAATATTTGTCCGACTCTGAGGTGACGTTATCTTTAACTAACTTCCTCTCAAGAAGCTTAAAGGCTATTTGAGGATTTTTGAAAAGGTCCATAGAGTCAGACATTTTGGCGGTTGGCTTTGCGGTGGGCGTAATTTGAACGATCTCACCGGTTAGCAGGTGTGTTTCTTCTTGCTCTGTGGTCGGCGGTGTGTCTGCGTCGGACGTGGATGCAGTCGGTGTGTGTGCGGTGGATGATGTTGTGGTTGATTCCATCAATCGCAGCAAGTCACGTGATGAGCTGAGTCAGCAGGTAAGGCGAAACACGAAGTAAAATCTGTTCCTCAGATATTTACTCTTTTCTCCCGTAACTCCGAGTTTTTCGGAGAACAGGTTTGCCAAGGGACTCAGATGAGCTGCCCCCTTAAAGTACCCTGGGCGGTTCGTCCCCTTGCCTACCTGTAAACGCACAATCTTGACGGGAAGAATGAGCCTCGAAAACACCGTAACGGAGCTGCAAGCAGACGTCGAGCGCTTGGGAATTCGCCTGGATGCGCTAAAAAACCACCTACCGCCACCAGATTTCTACCCAGAAGTCATTGCACTGCTGAAGGCCATCAGGGACCAACAGGCCTCTGGACCGAGCCACACACAGCCACCAAAAAATGCATCTTTTGGTAAAAAACAGCAGCCGCGTATGCAAAACAAGGTGGGCGACATTGCCACTTCTAAAAACAGTTATGCAAAAGTCATAGGCAATTCAAATGCACAAGCACCAAAGCAGAAATTAAAAGACAACGCAGCAGAGACCGCGGCAGCCGGGAGTAGGCCACCGCAAGCGGAGCGCAGTGGTGCTGATTCTGCACAAACAGGCAGCAGCGAGCGAGTGCATAATCGCAGTAAGAGAGGCACGAAAGACAAAGCAGCCGTGGACGAGTATGAAAAAATAATTGAAACGCCCGCCAATAATAAATACGACGGAAAGGTCAAATTTGAATTTATCACAAATAACATTGCAGACACAAATGAGGACGTCATCCTCGTCATGACGGGAGCTAACTTGATGCGCGTGGAGCCAGCACAACGTGCTCTCGCAAAGAAATATGGAGCACCCGAGGCAAGCAATGAGAGCCCGCCACAAATTGGCAGCATTCTTGTGCAGTCGATAGAGGGCGGCAGCAGAGAGATTTGGCACGCCGTATGCAGAAAAAGGAGCAAAGATATACCGCACTTTGGAATTCATTCTTACCTGCAGAACCTGCAGATTTCCCTGGTATCAATCAGGGACAAGATGGTAGAAAGGAAAATCAAAAGAATTGCTCTGATTCGACCCGAGGTGTACAGACTGCATTGGAAATACACAGTGACTAAAATTAAAGAAATATTTCATGACACTGATGTTACTCTTGTCTTCCACTCCCTAAAACCAATAAATGTTTCAGACAACGCGACTGGCGCGAAATCTAAAACCAGCCCAGCAATAGCGCCTCCAAGCTCTGCTCAAAGCACGGCGCAAGATAAAAATGACAGAGACATACAGGGGAGAGTTGATGATAAATCACAGAGTAGCCAAATGACACCAGAAAAGCCTGGGCCGAAGTCCGCAGCCACGTGCAGCAAAGGCAAGGCACCTCCACTACCACCACGACGCAAATCAGAAGAAGTGACACGACCACCACAACCACTACCACGAAAGACAGACGCGGAAGTCGCGGAAGCACCTAAAGAAACTGACACGGTGCATAATAAGCCGCAGTCAGAAACTGGTCCTGCAATGGCTTCGACAGCAGCGCCTCCAACAAATTCCCAAAGCGCGGCGCAAGACACAAGTCGCGGCCAAACTCAGGAATATGTGTGCCAATACCAAAGCTTTGAGAGCGACAATGAGCAAGATGTAACGCCGAAGACTCGTCACTCTCCGCTCAAAGCAATAGTCAAGTCGCTCTTTAAGAAACCCGACGTTAAGAAAAAAAATCCAGAGAGCACAAGGGTGACAAGAAGCTACTCGGCATCATCATCATCGTCGTGCCCAAGCTCTCCAACGTCACAGAAACTGCGTAAAGCAAGTGCGGTGGCTATCAAATCAAAAAACGAGATGACCAGAAAGATGACCAAGAAGAAGTGACAATTACAAATTCCGCCAAAACCCACAAAAATTTGAGAATAATGCTATTAAACGTACAGGGTTTGCTCAAAGCCGAAAAATTTGCATCTTTCGAAGAACATGTCCACAGCCTCAACAAAAAACCACACATCATCGCTCTCAACGAGCACTGGTGGTGTCGGGGCGATTACTTCAGTATAAAAGGCTACAAAACAATTTCATTTTTTGGCAGGAAAGAGAAAAAAGATAAAAAATCATACGGAGGAGGTGCTGTTCTTCTCGTCTCAACAAATGCTAATTTTAGCTACAAGAAGATTCCAACTTCTTCTATCGAAAATGAATTTGAGACGGCAGGGTGTGAAATTAAAATTAAAAAAACAACGTTGACGGTGCTTACTGTCTACCGACCACCCAATCACGGCACTATGGAGTCTTTCTTCGACAACCTGGAGAGTCTTGTTGAGCAAAATCTGGCACCAGATAAGGAGATGATTGTTCTGGGGGATCTAAATATTAACCTGCTCCAGGACTCCGCCGAAAGCCGGAAACTAAATAGCATAATGAAAGGTTACGAGATGCACCTCATTAATAAAAATGCCCCAACACGAGAGACTGCTCACAGCAGCACACTCATTGACCACGCATTCACCTCCCTTCAGTGTGATGCTAGATTTGAAGTCAAAGAAGTCAATTTCTCCGACCACAACGCAGTGCACATCGAGTTTGAGGTTCGAGTAGAAGAAATGAAGGACTGGTTCGTCTTCTCAAGAAGCTATAATGATGAAAATTGGCTAAATTTCAAGGAAAAATTAAGTCACGAGAGCTGGCAGGACATCTTCGCCGCTACTTCAGCTGACACAAAGAGCCATTTGTTCATGGAAAAACTGAAAAAATATTTTTATGCGAGCTTCCCTTTGAGAAAAAATATCCGCAAAGCAAACCAAGCCGGGAAAATACATCTCTCTGACTTTACAATAAACAACAAAATCAGGCTGCGAGAAATGAGTGAACAGCTACAAGAACTACGAAAGAAAGCAAGAGCAAATACAATCACCAATCAATCAGAAGCAGACAAGATCAAGGACCTGGAGCAGCAGGTGGCGAGCCTCAAAAGCTACGTCGGCTTCCTAATTAACGATGAGATCAGGAAAAACAATGAAGCAAAGCTCAGGAGTTCAAATAATAAAGTCTCAGCGGCTTGGAAAATCATCAAGGAGAACGTTGGCAATGAAATTACATCCACCACTATTTCAGAAATCTGCATAGACGGGCAAGAAGAAAAAGATTTGCAGAAAATTGCTGACTTCCTGAACACTAAATTTATCGAGCCACTTCCCGAAATGAGTGAACAAGAATTACAACTCGCCATTGAAGACGTCCCACTAGTGGAGACGATATTTTCACTTGATCAATTGACAACACCAGACGAGATTCGGAGAGTCATTGGCGCCTTTCCTGCAAAAAAATCAGCTGGCTGGGACGGAATATCCATGAGCGTCATCAAACAAATTTCCGCTTACATTGCAACGCCACTTTCGGATTTAATAAACTGTTCCTTCGTGGAGGGGAAATTTCCTGAAAATTTAAAACTGGCGACCATTGTACCTATCTACAAGAAGAAGGGCGAGGAAAACGACGCAGCAAACTACAGACCAATCGCTCTCACGTCAACGGTTGCAAAAATATTTGAGAAATGCTACCTAAATAGAATTGACGCCTACTTTTCAGACAATCAACTAATTCAAGGCTTCCAGCACGGCTTCAGAAAAGGCAAAAGCACGGTAACAGCACTCTATGACCTAGTCACGGACTTGCACTCGTCTATCGAGAAACGAGAGAAAGTGAACATGATCCTATACGATTTCTCGAATGCGTTTGGCTGCGTTGTGCCCGAAATCCTGATCGGGAAACTGAGATGCTATGGACTCGATGAAAAATCACTCTCTTGGATGAAATCATTCCTCACGGGTCGGAAACAAGTGGTTCAACTTAGGCACCTTGACGAAAACCAGACCATAACGAACGTAACATCTGCAACGTTGGACTCCTCCATTGGAGTACCGCAAGGAACGTCGCTAGGACCATTTAGTTACACGGCCTATGAAAACGACTTTTCGTTGGAAAGCGTAGCTGCCACCCTCTATGTCTTTGCCGACGATTTGACGAGCCTCGCAAGGGGTAATACATACACCGAAGCTAACGAGAAAACCTCGCAAGTTAACAAAAGTGTGGAGACCTTCGCCGAGAACAACCGTCTGAGACTAAATGCCTCAAAGACGAAGGTCATGCAAATTCACACCGCTCAAACAAAGAAGTTGGAAAAACCTTCTGTTCAACTTAACAACACGGCAGTCGAAGTGGCGAGTGAGAGCAAGGTTCTGGGTGTAATATTCACTGACACAATGAGCTGGCGCGCACAGTGCGAATATGCGAGTGGGAAACTGAGAAGTGCAACATACTTGTTTGTGAAAATGGGCAAGAGAGTGCCTAAGAGTAGTCTCAGACAGGTATACTTTGCATACGTGCAAAGCCATATCTTGTACTCGATTATTATCTACGGTGCCTCCCCATACTTTAATCTTGTCGCTATCGCGCAAAAACGGGTGCTGCGGGCTATGGCTGGGAAACGGTACTGGAAAGGACCCGATCCACTTGAGTCATGCAGACAACTATTCAAAGACTTTGACATCCTCCCAGCGTTTTCTTTGTACATATTGGAGTGCGCGAAGTTTGTAAAGAAATACCCTGATAAATTTGCCAGAAACAATGAGGCAGAGGAAGTTCACGTCTACAATACGAGAAACAAGCCAGTGAACGAAGAAGACCTTCACATACCCCCAGTGACACTAAGCTTGACAGCGCAAAATCCGGCGGTCATGATCGCTCGAATTTACAACCACTTGCCTGCTGAGTTAAAAGAAATTGAAGATCAAAAGACATTCACCCTGAAACTGAAACAAGTGCTAAGTGAACACAACTTCTATGACATACACGAATACTTACTGTGCAGTTTTGACAAGTGAAATTTCACGCGCTATAATCCTATAGTTTTTTCCCTTTGCCTAAGCAACGGGTTTTTTTTCTCTAAATTTTAATTTTAGACCTGACATGTTCTAAAGACTACTGTTAATATTCTTGTCTAACAGAACAACAATAAAATTGAATTGAATTGAATTGAGCTCGGCAGCTGTGGCTCGTGTCGTCATCAAGTAGGCGGGGTCACCATTTTGTACGGTTGGCCAACACAAAGGGCGAATAATAATTAAATTAAACTCCAGAAGATTCTTTTACTTCGTATATTGTGGTAAGCAGATGTTGTACATTCAGGATGTGTTGATATTTGAACTGTAAAAACATAATAAAATCAGTACAAAAGGTTATTTAGTAATGTTTATTTCAATGGCGGCGCCTGCGCGGCCGACGCATAGTTTTTATGTTCGTTGTTTGGGGTTAAAATTCACTGGCGGGGCCGGTGATTATGCACTTATTCACTGGGCGGGTAATTTTGCCGTCGAGGGAAATTGCACAGAAATGTTCTTACCCCATACCCAACAAAAAATTACAGCTAGAAATAGAAATGAAAATGAGTAAGCTGCATTTTAGTGCTGATTTGGAACACTTTACAGCTAACCTAGCTGCAATTTTCGTTTCAAACTAGCTTCCATGGCAGCTGCTGTTGCTGCAATGTAGCTGTGGTCGCACCACTCTAGCTTCTGGTTAGCTGCGGTTGCTGCAAACTAGCTGCGGGTTAGCTACGGTCGCTCCATTGTAGCTGCCGGTTAGCTGCGATTGATGCGACCTAGCTGCCGGCTAGCTGCGGTTGCTGCGACCTAGCTGCCGGCTAGCTGCCGTTGCTACGACCTAGCTGCCGGCTAGCTGCCGTTGCTGCGACCTAGCTGCCGGCTAGCTGCCGTTGCTGCGACCTAGCTGCCGGCTAGCTGCCGTTGCTGCGACCTAGCTGCCGTTGCTGCGACCTAGCTGCGGTTGCTGCGATCTAGCTGCCGGCTAGCTGCCGTTGCTGCGACCTAGCTGCCGGCTAGCTGCCGTTGCTGCGACCTAGCTGCCGGCTAGCTGCCGTTGCTGCGACCTAGCTGCCGGCTAGCTGCCGTTGCTGCGACCTAGCTGCCGGCTAGCTGCCGTTGCTGCGACCTAGCTGTGGTTGCTGCGATCTAGCTGCCAGATAGCTGCGGTTGCTTCGATCTAGCTGCCGGCTAGCTGCGGTTGCTGGGAACTAGCTGCCGGCTAGCTGCGGTGGCTGGGATCTAGCTGCCGGCTTGCTGCGGTTGCTGCGATCTAGCTGCCGGCTTGCAGCGGTTGCTGCGATCTAGCTGCCGGGTTGCTTCGGTTGCTGCGATCTAGCTGCTGGGTAGCTGCGGTTGCTGCGATGTAGCTGCCGGATAGCTGCGGTTGCTGTAATCTAGCTGTCATTCAGCTGCACTAGCTTCAATGTAGCTGCCGGTCAAAGAAAGTAGTTTTTGGATTTTATTTTTTAATTTTACTATACTAGGCCTTTTTGGCTCTGAAGCTTATGCCATGATCACACAGCTAGAAAAATCTCCAGCAGCTAGATCGCGGCTAGGAGGACTCGAGCAATATTTATTAATTGCCAGGCATTTGAAGCATGTAATTCCTGAATTTTTATTATTTATTATTTTATTGCTTACCTCTTTCCGTTGCATGTTAAATATAAGATATGATGTGCATGCACTCGTGTGTAGCGTAACTAGGTGGCAAATAGTAGCGTCACAATATATAAATAATTTTAATTCTAGTTAATTACTTACAAATTATTGTTCTTCAAACATCTAGCTGGGATGGATTATCTATGGATACGTTAAAAAAGATTTCTGGTTATATAGTGTTCCCCTGTGGCATTTATGGTGAATGAGTCGTTTCGCACTGGTAAATTCCCGGAAGTGCTAAAATTAACTGTAATCAAGCCATTGTACAAAAAGAAGGGTGAGAAATCCGATGCTAGTAGTTATCGCCCAATAGCCTTAACATCTTCTGTAGCAAAAGTATTTGAGAAATGTTTCCTAAATAGAATTGAAAGCTATTTCGCTGAAAACAATCTCCTTGCGGACGAGCAGCACGGTTTTCGAAAAGGCAGGAGCACAGTGACTGCACTTTTTAAGTTAGTGTCCGAAATCTACGATTCGTTGGAAAATAGAGAAAAAATCAATGTGATTCTGTATGACTTTTCTAATGCCTTTGGGTGTGTCGTTCCCGAAATACTGCTTGCAAAACTGAAAAAATTTGGAATTGATGATGTATCCCTCCTTTGGTTAAAGTCCTTTCTTACTGATAGAAAACAACTTGTTCAACTTTTTGGTGTGGGTGAAAATGGCGAGCAAAAATTATTTGAGTCAACAATGGAAAATGTTTCGATTGGCGTACCACAAGGAACAGTATTGGGCCCTTTTGGCTATTCCTCCTACGGTAATGATATGCCCTTAAAAATCATTGTCGCCGCTCTTATCTTGTTCGCAGATGATTCATCTTTTATTGTAAAGGCTAGAAACTACAAAGCCTTGAACGAAAAAACTGCTGTGGCTAATGACAAAATGATTGATTTTCAGTAATAACCGCTTAAGATTGAACGAAAAGAAAACTCAGGTGCTGCAAATGCATACTGCTCAAACTAGTAAATTGGAACCGCCTGTAATCAGAATTAACGACGCTGAAATTGAAGTGGTAAATCAAGCAAAAATACTTGGTGTAATGCTCTCTGATACAATGAACTGGAGCACCCAATGCGATCAGGTTGTAGCGAAACTGAGAAGTACCACGTACCTTTTTGTTAAATTAAGGCAGCGCATTCAGACTAAATTGCTAAGAGATGTATATTTCGCCCATGTTCAAAGTCACTTACTATACTCAATTGTAATTTGGGGTGGGTTGCCTATGTTGGAAAAGGTTTTCATTGCTCAAAAGAGAGTTATCCGTGCGATGGCAGGTAAAAGATACTGGAAGGCATTGACACCTGTCGAGTCTTGCCGACCACTTTTTGAAGAATTTCAGATCCTGCCAGCTTTCTCTGTGTACGCCTTTGAATGTGTTAAATTTTACAAAAAGTATCCAGAATTGTTCCTCAAAAATTCTGAAAGCAAGGTGCACCAGAATCGCAGTACTCGAAATAAACCTATAGCGGAGCAAGACTTATTTGTCAAACCAAACAGACTGTTGCTGACTGCGCAGTCCCCTCACATCATGATCCCTAGAATTTTCAATCATCTTCCCGATAGAATCAAAAGCATTGATAGTTATCAAGTGTTTAAGAAGGAATTGGAATTAATATTCTACGACAAAATGTTCTATGACGTGCATGAATATTTTTTGTGTAAAATTGTGTGAACTGTATTTTAAATGTATTTTAAATTTAGTAAGCTGTATTATAGTTATATTGAGATATAGCTGTATTACAGTGACCTATTCCAAAGATTATTTCTGTACATATGTTGATCTATACGGAATAAATATTATCTGAATCTGAATCTGAATCTGAAACTGTTAAAAAAGTCGTTACTTTTTATTATTTGTTCGTTATCTAATTTAGACATTTAAGGGAATTCAATAATGTGACCTATTTTTTTGGTAATTATCGAAATCATTTTAGCAAAATATTATTGAGGGAGGCAGGGGGCAGCTGAATTTTCTTAAAACGCAGCTACTGGTTGCTGCAATTTAGCTTCAGAGAAAATGCGCATGCATTTAGCTAGCTTCCGACTAGCTGCCGAGTTGGTGCCTTTGCTTCTATTTAGCTGCCAAGTAGCTGCGCTTGCTTCGTTCTAGCTTCCGAGTTCTAGCTGCCGAGTAGCTGCGCTTGCTTCGTTCTAGCTGCCGAGTTGCTGCGCTTGCTTCGTTCTAGCTTCCGAGTAGCTGCGCTTGCTTCGTTCTAGCTTCAGAGTAGCTGCGCTTGCTTCGATCTAGCTGCCGAGTAGCTGCGCTTGCTTCGATCTAGCTGCCGAGTAGCTGCGCTTGCTTCGTTCTAGCTGCCGAGTAGCTGCGCTTGCTTTGTTCTAGCTTCCGAGTAGCTGCGCTCGCTTCGTTCTAGCTGCCAAGTAGCTGCGCTTGCTTCGATCTGCTGTGCTTTTGCTACCATGAAGTTTCTAAATATAGTATCACTTTTATATCAAGATTTATCAAAGAAGGTAATGTTAAATTTAAGAAATTTAAAGGACTTTAATTCTTAATAAGTTTCTATATTGCCTATTTTCAAGTTTATTTCTTTTTATTATCAGAGCTAAATATTTTTATTTCAAATCAAGTTAATATTAAAATTACTTAACTCTTTGTGTGGTTCCTCTTATCCCCCATATGACAAGTTTTTTTTATAGAAAAAAATTATGATATGAGGAAAAAATAAGAATAACTAATTGTTTCATCAAGTTGCCCCGTTCTAAATTCTTAACCAAATTTGAATATGAAAGAACAGTAGCACGAAAGTGAATATATTTATAAAATACATATAAAAGGGTGTTAACGAAATACAAAACATATAAATTAAGCATAAATAATAAAACATCGAAAAATATCTAGTATTGATATAGTACTGATCATTATATGCTTTCTTTTTTTCGTTCCTTTTATAGAATCAATGCTAAAAAAACTTAATAAAATAGACTGGCAGCTAGAATGGAGCAACCGCAGCTGGCAGGCAGCTAGAAAAGAGCAACCGCAGCTAACCGGCAGCTCTCTCGGAATTGTCGTCAATAGCCTCCTGGGTCTGGTCAGTCAGTTTCTTAATAAAAGAGTTGGAGTTGAGCAGCCGCAGCGAGTGGACGTGCCGGCACACCGCTCGCGCGGCAGAAAAAAGTAGCGAACGTTTCGCTGCTTTCCTGCAATTTTGGTGCACAATTTGGACATTATCTCGTGACTGCCTGAATAGTGTGACTTTTCTGTGGCCCGATATTTTTGGAAGCAATCAAGATTTTCTAAAGGTCAGTGAAGATGGACGCCAAGAATTGTATCAGGTCTGCCTCGCAGGGACTGGCTGTTTCTCAAGAGAGCGAGCTCGCCCAGCTTCTTGCAGCACAGGGTGAAGTCAGAGATTTATTGAACGAAATTCTCAAATTTTTGAAACTGAGCCTTAATTCTTCCTTTTGCTTACGAAGAAACTCAGAATCGGCATTATTTTTCCTGTTTACTCTAATTAATATTTTCTCCTTTGGGAAACTCATTTCAAAGTACATAGTAAGCTTATCCATGAATTTAAAGCACATATCATCAATATCATCACTTTCATAAACTTCGGTCCAACTTTCTGTACTTAAGAGGTGGAAAAACATTT